TCATAAGTTGAATGCGGCTATTCCAATGGGAGTTTAGGATAACATAAATAAATAATTGTATCTCTAAACTACACTATTGCCTCCTCCCCAATCCGCTTTAAAAAAAAGACATCAAGTGATTTAATTCCCAATCTTTCTGTATAAACTTCGGTATACGCCTATTCACCATGCTTTATTCGAGTCGCCTGCGTTGGATTGGTCATGCCCGCCGTAAAGAGAAAGAACGAATCCCATCATCCTCTACGGTCAACTTGCAACACGGGGGCGAAATGCTTTAGTTCTAGTCTTCAACATATGGAAACAGACAAGACAAACAAGGGCGGCAGTGATGCTAAGGAAAAAATCTATGAGAGAGAAATAGTCGTTGTAGCTTACGTCAGCTTAGTATCATTTAAGTTTTTGCTCTTCTTAATTGGAAATAGTGAGTGAAAAGAAATAGTCAATTTTAGCTGTTTTATTTTCTGAAATGATTCATGTTCTCTGTACAAGCTCAAATCTTATTTATCACACACCTTCCACCCGCCAAAAGCTGAAATGCGAATGGGGGAATAAAATCGTGGAAGTCTAGATTCTGGTCGTGTGGTATGCGCTCTGGAATGTCTCAAATGTCTAGAGTTCGAACCCTGCCCGCTGTCCTCCCGAGGGAGGTTTGAGCTAGGATATAAACTTATCGTCATTTCTGAAGGAATATCCGAAACGTAAAACAAAGCAAACGAGGGGGGGGGGCCTACGTGGGGGGATATGTAGTCCAGTAACCATAGTGTAGATCTAGCTACTAGCCTACGTTCCCCATCAGAGTAAAAAAAAATGCAGTTTAAGCTTCGTATGCTTTCATTTGCGCCCCCCCCCCCCCCTATTCTACTACAATTTGGTATAGGCCTAGGCAATATAGCCATCCCCGACTTGTATAAACATAAAAACTTCCTGCTTTCAACCGATTCACATGTTTATAACAATAGACACGTAAAAGAGCTTATTTTCTCAATGGCCTAAAAGAAGAACTCACGTGTTGATCAGCAGATATGACATAATATATCCAGCGTTCTCTCCAAACAAACAACAAACAAAACACCATCAGAGTAGGCACCATACAAGCGCAACACTTTTTCCTTTTCATTTCTGCCACCACAAGTTACTTCCCATTCTATCTGTAACTCCAAATTTAAATACACATTCGACAAACAACGGCAGCTAGATGTAGATCTACGTGCACGTTTTTTTTTTCTTTTTTTCTTTTGAGACAACTCATAACTTCCACGTTTTCTCTTGTGTAAACTTGTGTGTTTCCATTTTACGATTTTACCCAAGCAACCAAAAATAGAAGAAAAGAAAGGGAGGGAAGTGTTCAAGAAAGTACGTGTCGTGACCTCACTGCTCACAGTTTCAACAGCTAGCACGCGCCGAGCCAACAGCTGTGAGGATTGGCAGATCTTTGCAGTTTAGTCATTAGAAAGAGAGAGAGTGTGTTTGTGACCCCGACATGGAAATGTGAGTGCGCGAGGAGTGGAGCTAGGACTGATGTTAAAAGAAACAAAAAAAATCAAAGAGAAAGATTAGGACACCGCACGTTAAAAACGTATAGGTCATTTGAAAAATGTTGCGATGTGTTGATGGACGCATGAATTGTTTGAAATGCATTTGTGTGAACAGTGGCAAATGCAGCGATGCTTATGAATGGACCGACCTAGACCTTATTGTGGGGGATAGGCCTAAAACTAGAGTGATCTATAGCCATAGTCTAATCAAATAATGGATAGTTTATGTGACTCTTTAGATACTGTAACTTTGAGTAAATGATGACATCCACTAATTAGAAAACAGACTTACAAGTTGGATTCATGTCGGTATAGGAGTGTGAATGCACCATGCTAGATCTAGTTTAATATTGCTATGAGGCCTACAATTGAGGTGCTTTATAGAAAACTAACCCCCCCCCCCCCTCTGCTTAGAACTCATCATTAATTACTAGAATCTTAAGTGTGATTTATCTGTGGCATTTTACGTCTCGAGGGACAATCTTTTCCCTTTGCAACTTCTTATGTGACTAAAGAGGCCATACGGAATAGAGCATGAAATGTCGAGTCCTCATTTTCAGAGTTCTAATGGCGAGGCTGAGAGAGCTATTCAGACAGTGAAGAAACTTTGGAAGAAAAGCGAAGACAAATTTCTGTCGCTATTAGACTATAGAACTACTCCACCGAGTAATATTACTTTGTCGCCAGCACAATTACTCATGGGACGCCGACCCAAAAATTTGTTACCTTCGACCGAGGAAATACTCACACCTAAGACACCAGATCTCAAGGTGGTGAGGAAACACTTTGACTCCGAGAAACAGTCTCAGAAACATTATTATGATAAGAGGAAAGGAGTTAAAAGTCATAATCCACTACAAGACGGAACGGCAGTCAGAATGCAACTTATTTCTAAGTGGAAACCAGGAACAGTAGTTTCGAAGCATTCTTAGCCTAGATCATATAATGTCAAAAGTGGAAATAAGGTCTACAGAAGAAACAGAAAACACATCAGAAAGTCTTCTGAGAAAGCAAACAGATTTGACAATATTTATGACTTTCCAGATGACATCTCAGAACAACCAGAACCACAATATCTAGAGAGTCCAAGATTACAAACTACACTAGATGTTGAGCCGCCACTACACACTGCTTCTTCTAACACATCTAGACCACATGAACCTTACGTAACACGCTCAGGCAGAATAGTTAACTAACCCAAGAGACTTGATTTGTGATGAACTGATTTGACTTTTTAGTTGGCTAGTTATTCTGATAAATAGATTTTCTGAATTAAAGAAGAGAGATGTAACATAATAGTATTGTATGTACATTTGCATACTAGCGCGTCAGTGCAACACCGCTTGTGTTTACGTAATAAATAGAGTTCCTAATATGTCTTCCCTCTTAAACCCTAGTTTTTTATTTGTGTAATACAAATATTCTACACTTGTTACACAGCTGCGGTCACAGGTTGAGCATATGTAATCATCAGGTGCCGTTGCTTTTTCGCACTTCTTTCTACTACTGTTGTGTATGGCATCTGCAATCCGGGACCCTTCATTAAGTTCTTGTATGCTCGCTCTCCATGTGGATCTGTCCAGTGCAACTTTTTCCCCAGCTGTTGTCGATTTGAAGAGCTTCATGCGTTTGCATACATCAGTAGTAGAAGTGAACGACCAGCGGCTCTCCTGCCTTCTGTTAGTTCACCATACAGAAGGTCTTGTGGAAGTCGATTTATATAAGAAAGAAAATCTACTAGTTTTCAAATTGACTCTATAAACTTTTTATTTAATTAATATACGTAATAATCAAAGCAGATACCGGTACATACATATATAGCTACCTCTAGCCAGCTGTTTGCTCTATAGCAGTCTGTGCCGGCGGGGGGAGCGTTTCCAGCTATTTTGTTCAGCACTTCAATGCAGTGTGTTAATAGGGTCTGCCTATGGTGAATTAAAATGGGACATTCAAATAGGATATGATTCACTATTTCGTAAGTGGGGTGGGTGAGTGGGATATATTCAGTTAAGGTGATAAAAATTGAAGGTGTGTCCTGTCCTTGGGTAGATTGCTCTTGGCTGGGAAAGGAATTGATACTACCCAGTTAGGCGTGGTCATTTCTTTGTACACAGTTCAATCTCTGCTACCAGGACCAACCACTTCTCTTTGTGGTCTTTGGTTAACATTAAGTTGAGAGTGAGGTAGTTTACTGGTCTCTCTGTTCCATGGAGGACCCCGCTTTGACAGTTTATCAGCCTTTACATTTCCCATTATGCCTATGTGTCCATTGTAATGTCTTTTAAATTTGGATATATAATGGGTTATCATTAGTATTGTCAACGCTCTTGGGGTAGATGAGATGTTGCTAGTCACTGCTGGAAGAGTGGATTGAGAGTCTGTAAAGACACTACTTGGAGGTGCTTGGGTTCTGTCATCTTGTTTCCAGCTGTCTGCAGTGCTCTAGTGATAGCTTCCATTTCAGGCTGGAAGTTTGAGCTGTAATTGCCGGATACCAAAACCAGCATTTACGGTGACTGAAGGCTGATCCATCGGTATATATATGGATAACTGTTGATAGCATTCAATTGCTTCTAGTGTGCACCATTTGAACTCTTAACAGTACTAGAGGCTATTGAGAGAATCAGAATGTTGGAGGATGACCAACATAATATACTACGGACACAGAGAAATAGGAAAAACAAACAAAAGAACTCGACTCTGATCCATATTATTGATGAAGTTGCCATCCAACCAACAATAGAGAAAAAAAAAATTACCAGATTTTCTAACATAGGCCCAAAAACAACTCATCATTAAAACACATTTAATAAATAATAGCCCAACAAAAAAATACACAAAATCATTAAAAAACATGTTTTATTGGCAGCTTGTTAGTTTGTGAAATAATTAAAAAAATGTTAACAAATTGTGAACATTTTGTGAATTTTCCCCTCAGCCATTAGAATGGAGATGACTTCATGAACATTTAGATCAAATCTTGAACAGTCATACACATTCCTTACCAAGAGTACTAGAACCTAGCCAAATTGTTTATGGCACCAGTGGCTAAGAAAAGTAAGAGGCAGGCTTTAACCGAGACCAATTGTTATAGAAGGCCTGAACACTGACCTGCAATGTCACAACCTGTGGGCAGTTTAGACCAATAGCTCATTGCAACATCACTGGTCTGTGCGATGTGGCAACGAGCTATTGGTCAAAAGTGCCCATAGGTTATGACGTTGCAGGTCAGTGTCCAGCCCTTCTATAACGATTGGTCTCGCTTTAACCATGTCATTTAAAAAGTTTCTAAATTCAACTCAGTAATTAAAGAAATGTATTTTAAAAATTTTAAAGACCAAGATTATCATGAGGCAAATATCTGAGCGGCTTCCTCCTTTGCGCAGCATAGATTGCATATTTACTAGATAAAAATTACTAGAAAGGCTAAATTTGGTCCTTGCTCAATTACTTTATCATAAAAAACACAAAAAATATAATATATCAGCGTAAGAACCAATGAAAACCATTCATAGTAAATTTTTGCAGACATAAAAAACATGAAAGAAACAATGAAAAAATTAAAATTAAATTAGAGATTACATAGAATAAAAATAGAAAGTAAAATAATTAGGCCTCCATGTCTATAGAAAAATACACTTTTGTTTGGTTAACATTGGTATGACTGCGCTTTAGTCAAAGAGTCAAATGGTGTTGCAGCTCATTAAGGCAAACAAATGCATGGAACACATAAGAGACATCTTGTACCGGGCATCAACAATGATTAGGTCTTGTGTCATACTGAAACAAAACAATATTCTAATTAAATACAAAAGTTCAAGAATACAATTCATTGTGGAGTTGTCATTAAGAAATATAGACTCAATAATTTTAAAAAAAAAAACACTTTGGGACCTGATAGACAGGTCTAAAACTTAGAGCACTCAAAAACCTTGAGCTTTGTATATCCCCTTCTCTTTCTCTGGTTAAAAAATGTTTTGTAAAATGTTTCAGATTATCTTCAGAGTTGAAGATAATCTACTTCCTAGTCCAAATCTCCTGCATGATGACGGGGGTTGGCAGCGGGCAGGGTATATACCGGGATCATCGAGACCTGAATGATAGTCCAGCACGCATACCGCACGACCAGGCAGCCATCTTTTGACTATAATGATATATATTTCCTTGACAAAAATTGCAAGGTCAGAGTGTAATTTTACATATCTTGATAAAAAACAAAACACCTGGTATATTATACATCTTAAATGTCTCCTAGTCTGTATTGTGTCAAATTGATTTTAAGCCCATTGTAAAAAAGGAGCCCATTGTGAAATATTGGTATTAGCTAGCAAGAAATTGTCCAAGATTTGCTTTCAATAATGTAAGGCCTTGAGTACACAAAAAATCAGTTTGAACATTATCAAATGAGAATCATAATTCCTGTAAAACCCACATGGCTATATAATGATACCAGAACTCATTTCAAATCTCAGGATGTCTTTGCAGACAGGGCTAGAAATTTACTTTTATGAAAACAGACATGGGTTAATTATTTGGAACAAAAACAGCAAAATTTGTTGAGTCCTTAATACCCCAAGATACCCCCAAGACAATTCATTACTTAACCTATAGTTGATTTTTTTTTTTACTCCAAGACATTTCATTTCATTACTTAATCTCTAGTTGATTTTTTTTTTAACCAAGACATTTCATTTCATTACTTAATCTCTAGTTGATTTTTTATGCTCATTTAGATTAAAAAAAAAAATTCTCCTCAGGTTTCTTTTTACAAATAAATGATCTTTTCAAAATAGTCTAAAAGAAAGCTGTCTGAAGTCAAAGAGGCATTTGATTGTGTGAAACATACCTTTTTAACTAGAACCCAAAACTACAAAATGATCACAGCCTAATTTTTCATATTTTTTTTTATTCAGTGATAGTCTCTTTGTCCTAAATTATAAACTTAACCAACAAGTTTTTTGTTTTAGTAGTAAATTAAAAAAAACAACTGAAATAACTGAAAAATACAATGTCTTAGTGCTATTCTTCTTTAGGAGATTTGAAGTGACAAAAGGTTTAGATTAAATATGTATAAACAAGAGTGTGAATCTTTTCACAAGTTAATTTTTCTTATAATCTTTGGACACTTTTTTTTTTTAGTTGTCAGTTTAAAGTTAATTTAAAAACTTATTTTTTTGAATATTTTATAAAACATTTTTAGCATATTCATTTTTTAAAAACTAAAAACAAATATGTTAGATTATATAAATGTTAAAAAAAATGTTATGTGAGTTTTAGTAATCCCACTCAATAGCAAATTCAAGTTGATCCCGGAAAAGTCCATTTTTTTCTATTAAACAAATATGCACAGAAAGATTTAAAATTACTTTTCTAGAGTTACCATTTGTATTGTTCTCATATGTTATATAAAAAAAAAGATTATTTTTTTTGCTTGGATTTTGGGTCCCTACTTAAACTAGATTAGTTAGAATGAAATATCAAATCAAAAGCTAACTTACACTCAGCCTTTCTCTTTTGTGACTGTTGTTTAATTGCCTGCAAAAAAGAGATTTAGTACTAGGTGAAACATTGAAATAAGAGATATAGTATTAGATAAATCATGGCACGATTGCACTATTAATTCATATTGGCTCCATCGAGCTTTAGCCCAGGAGTTACAACATTAAAACAACAAACTAATTCATAGATCATAGAGTGGAACTCCCAGGGCACAAGACGTAGAGGAAGACCAAAAAGAATGTGTTGATGCAGTGTACTAAATGAAGCTTAAAGAGCTTGGAAGCCATTAAAAAACTTGCAAGCGACCGTGGAGAGTGGCATGTTTTTACTGAGGCCCTATGTTCCTTGAGGAACGCAAATGAAAGATGATGATGATGACTGTATCTAAGCCTATTTATAACTTAGCCTGTTGTGAATAGTGCAGAATTTCATGGCCAGCTGTTTAGTGTATCCAGCGCACAAAATAAAGGAAGTGTTGAATAGACGTTCACTTTATGATTTCTTTAAAAACAAACTGGAAACTAACTAGCAGTAATAAAGTAGAAACAAAGATCAACTGGCACACATTGAGATAGTGTTCAAATTAGAGCTCAAGTCTTTTTTATTTAGTTGGCAACAAAGTTCAATTTATCTCCCTTTTCAGTGATGTTTTTTTGAACCTATTTCTCCATTAGCAATATGTTCATGTCAACTAAAGCTGCTGTGCTGGTTTCCAGAATTGTTTCTTTGTCCATGGCATTGCTATCACGAATTTTCTTTGCATGTTTTGGAATCTGAAAATTGGGACTAGAGAAATTAGCTCTGTGGAATGTTACCAGAGAATGCAGACTATGTCCTTCAGGTTGCATTCTTTATCAAGAGGACCAAACAAGACCCTGGCCCTGAAACACCTTTACAGATTACAGAAAAAAACAACTTTATGGAGAACTGCTGTCTGGAAACTACAGTGCAGTAGATATGGAATTAGTCCTCTGAACCCTCCAGTATTATAAATGAAAATGAAGAAGAATATTTTGTCATGTTTTTATACTAATGGATAAATTTTTTTTTTTTTTTAATTTTTCAAAATTTTGTGCACACTAAATCTCATAAGATGTTCTTTGAATGAAATTAATTTATGAATTAAGTTTTTTTTTTTTTTTAAGTGACACAGAAAAGTGACTTTACCTTTTTAACTGCCATCCAGTCTTCCATCAAATCAGCTTCTCGTATCATATACACTATATATGGACGTTTAAGAATTAAGGAAACAGCAATAATTTTGACAAGAACTTCAAAATACAAATTAGTAACAAGTCACTTACACTTTTGGCTTGCAGCTGAAAAGGAACATGTTAAATTTAACTGTTAGGAAATACAATGAGTCAGGAAAGACTTTAAGCTTGGCAGTTTTATCATCAATGCCAATATAATTTCAAGCCCTCTAATATGAATTACAAAAGTATAGTATAGAATTTCTGTAAGGTTTCAAAGGAGGTTTCTGTTTATTTTTAAATTTTCTTAAATTGGCTTGTGTCCATTATATTATAGTATATAAACATAATTTGTGCCACAAGAATGCCTCGCAAAATATACTTCACCTACATGTAATTTAGGTCTTACACCTTCACTGCTGGCATCCTTCCATTGATTCTAAAAACATCAGAGAAGTTTTATTTTTTTTACTTAAGCATATTAATCTGTGGCGTCTGTAGTCTACTAGAACTTCTTTTCAGGCAGCATCTAGATCATGACACTTACTAACCTAAGCATCATGCAACTCACACCAAATGTTTGGCTTCTACAACACTATTGATTTTTTTTTTAATAGAAGGTTACTTTAGTTCAAGTTGTAGTTTCATTGCCTGTATAAACCTGCATTGCATTTAATTGAGCATAGATAAAAAGCATCAGTTAAATGAAAAAGGATATCAGTGACAGTTTGTGGCTTCTTTTTTCTATCTGGATGTAGAGGATCAGTTTTCTTTTTCTTCTTTAATGTTTGTGTTTCTTGCCAGAGATCTGTTGAAACATATGAATTCAGTCAGAGCAGGTATTAACAATATAAGATTTAGGTTTCTTAAGTCTTTCTCTATCTAGCTCTATGAAGTTTTGTTTTTTTTCTGCTTCATCTCATTTTGTGTGTTCTAACAATTTAGTAAGCAAAACAAAAGGGTATTCAATTAAATTAACTTTGCTATTTTTAATTTCGATAAAAAAAAAATTAAAACCCAGCCAGGCCTCTATTCCACAGCACATTAAAAGTTAACAAATTAATTCAAAGCCTCAGAGCTTCTAATATTTTCAGTGCAACATGCGATGGAAATCTAAACAATATATTTTATTAACTGAGAAGCAACAATAATGTAGTAACTCCAGTGGCGGACTGAAAGGGTTAATGTGTGTGCGGCCTACTGATACACACAACTCAGGACAATCACACAGGTCAACGGCTGTCGATAGACAAGGGACAGTACTGCTAGTTCACGCAAATATGACCCATGTTGTGGTCATGTGATCCAGAGCCTTCACAGACTATAGACAGTGTGTGAGAAAGGACAGTAGAGTCCAGGACAGCAAGCAGTAAGGACTGAGTGCTACAAAGTAACTCCTCGAAAATGTAGCTGTACAAGCTAGAGAGACTTGTAGTGATTAGTTAGGCAGTTCTGTTGTGTAGCAAAGCATTTGAAGTTAGTGTAGCCAATTGTGTTTATTGGCTGTTGTTGATGTATTTGTCATTAAACCACCACATTGTTTATTGAAGCTCTTGTTGTCAAGTTCTTGTGTTAGATGTGCTGTGTTGTGTTTAGCAGTGTTTTGCAGAAGGCCTGATAGAGAAGATCGTAACAATATGACCAAAAATAAGGTATTTTAAATTAATAATAGTTCACTATCAGTAACCAGAAACAAACTTTATATTTTACTGGCAACATGATACTGGTGACAAAATGATTACACATGAAAACAAAATATATTGCAGAATCTTCAGAAATTCTAAAAAGTGACAAAAATCAATTTTATTTTTACAAAAGGCCATTTCAAAAACAAAAATGTAATTTAAATTTTTAATCTAACTCAAATATTTTTTCCCTCCCAATTCATCTACTCACAAGGTAGGTCAACATAGAAGAACTCACCTGAAGTAATGTCAATATTATGCCTATCCTCTTCAAGGCGCCTGATCTTGTCTTGTAATTCCTGCTTGATGGTGTCATAAAGCAACACTTTCTCACTCTGTTTAAAAAAACAACATAAAACCAGTGCACTAAATTAGTCATTCTATAAATATGTTGTTTTTCATTTAATAGTGTTATTACATTAACCAACTTATTCTTAATATAATCCAGAAGATTCACCTCATAAACTGAATAAAACTCAACAAACCTACATATTTTTTTCTTTGCATATAATAGATTTAACAGCTTATCTTGGATTATAGCTGTAATCATGTAAATAAAAAATTATAATAAATGTGTAAGCAATGGAATAAATAATTTTCATATAAAAAAATAAACAAGTGACATTTTCAATCACTGGGTGGCTGTTAAGCTTTGAAACTGTTATAAGATTTATTTATTGCCACCATCCCAAAAGTGAAAGGATATAATCAAGTGTTACTTCCTTCACTTTCGACTTTGAATTTGCAATGGACGCCCAGTTAATTTCATTCTAGACTTTTTTAATCAATCAAAATTAGTGACAGTGAAGTTGATATTCCAAATCTGAATAAAGACAACCTAACTGATGAGAAATTTATGGCTTCTGATTTAGATT